CCGTTCCCACCTTCCCTTCTAAACCCTTCCCTTCTTTCCTTCCCCCTTCCCCTTCTACCTCCTTCCCCCACCTTCCCTTCTACCTCCTTCCCCCACCTTCCCTCTTTCTTTCCCCCCCTTCTACCTCCTTCCCCACCTTCCTTCTACCCTCCTTCCCCCACCTTCCCTTCCTACCTCCTTTCCCTCCTTCCCCACCTTTCCCTTCTACCCTTCCTTCCCCCACCTTCCTCCTTCCCTTCTACCCACCCTTCCTCCTTCCACCTTCCTTCTACCTCCTCCTTTCCTCCTTCCCCCCTTCCCTTCCTACCTCCCTGCTTTCCCTCCTCTCCTTCCCTTCTCCCTTCCTCCTTTCCCCCACCTTCCCTCCCACCTTCCCCCTTCCTTCCCCACCTTCCCTCCTTCCCTTCCTTCGCTACCCACCTTTCCCTCTTCCCCCACCTTTCCCTCCCTCCTTCCCCCTTCCCTTCCTTCCCCTCCTTCCCCCCCTTCCTTCCCCCCTTCCTACCCACCCTTTCCCTCCTCCCCACCCCTTCCTTCCCTTCTACCCCACCCCCCTTCCTTCCCCACCTTCCCCCTTCCTACCCACCCCTTCCTTCCCACCCCTTCCCTCCTTCCCTTCTACCCCCACCCTTCCCTCCTTCCTTCTACCCCACCCTTCCCTCCTTCCCTTCTACCCACCCTTCCTCCTTCCCTTCTACCCCCACCCCTTCCCTCCTTCCCTTCTACCCCCACCCCTCCTTCCCCACCTTCTTCTCCCCCCCCTTCCTCCTTCCACCTTCCTTCTACCCACCCCTTCCCTCCTTCCCACTTCCTTCCCTCCTCCTCCCTTTAATGTACAGCGGTGACGCCTCGCCAGCCCTGGCTCGGAGAGATCATGCCCTTCTTGCCCTGAAAGGAGGCCCACCTTCAAACATCCAGGGCATAGTTAGGATGATGGTTCGAATGCGAGGAGGAGGAAAAGTACGGAAATCAGGCGAAGAAGTGCAATAATGATTGAAATATACATAAAGAGAGAGAGAGAGAGATCGCTTTTATTCATGTTTAGTTATTAATTTGATGGATATATTAGAAACCTGCCTTAAGAAGTAAGTTATCGTATATTATTTCGAAAATAATAATCAAGAAATCTTATTGCATCGTTCTATTTCAATTCCTTGTCATAAATTCTATATAAACTTGAACATTGTTGGAACTGACTATTCGTCAGAAGGAAATAACCTTCATACATATATGAAGGATGTATATTATTATATGGCTCTGCATTATCCTCCGTCTTATATCACCTGGATCCGCTATTTGGATATGTTATAATGTCATATGTTATTTGGAAAATAACGCCATTATATTTCCAAATGTTTACAATTATTTCATTACCAAAAATAACGAAATGTATATGAATATGTATCAAAAGCAAAGGGTTTCTTGAATAGTTTAGAGGGGGGACATCGACAAGGTGTTGGACACCAGCTGCTGAAACGACAGTTAAAGGTGTAAGAATTGATAGAGTCAAGGCTAAGGGAATATCCCCTTACCCTTGGATAGAGTGAAGCTAGACTCGGCCCTTCGCGAGGTGAGTGAGCAAGCGTGACCCGGGAAAGGGATTCACTGGGAAGTGCCCAATCTGCCCAAGTGTAAAGACTGTCACCTAATAATTTGACACTAAAAATATGTTAATAGTATAAGTTTCGCAACACCTGCATCATATATATCCTATCATTATATTAATGCACCGCTGCACACATTCACTTTGTGACTGACGATGCACTTTAAATCAATTTGTATCTCAAACTTTTTGTTGATATAGACATAAATACTTTCTATAAGTATATGATTGTATGCGGCGGAGCCAAGTGGCCCATCACACTCAGGCTGACCCCAACCTAACCGTGCTTCGCGATTCATGAACGTGACTGGAGGTTGTGGTTCGTAGGAGACACCCGAACGAAATAAAAGGAAAACAAGGGAATCGATACCTAAACCTTTACACCCCATCACGCTCGAAGTTTTGTGGCCAAAGCCATTTATTAATGTTTGGTAGCTCAAGAGGCGGTATTTAAGGCGATACATTATTCACACCCACAAATATTACACAGTGTGTGTGAGAGAGAGTGAGAGAGGGGGAAGGGGAGAGTGAAAGTGAGAGGGAGAGCGGGGGGTGGGTTGCGGACGGTAGCCTCGATAAGATGGGACTGAAACAGCCGAACACTCACTCCTTGCTTTGCCTAGCGAATTCAGATCACCCCCTTCCTCCCCCCACCCTTTTTCTAACTATGTTCAGGCTGTTTGAACGTGGGCCACCTTTCAGGGCAAGAAGGGCGGGATCTCTCCAAGCCAGGTCTGGCGAGGCGACATCGCTTTTGTTGTTGGGTGTACCTCCACATTTTGGCCTGTTGCAGCTCCCAACGGTTGCAACTTCATACTGCAATGTTGACTTCCCTAATTCTCCTTCTGCTTGGCGTGCTGACAGTGCCGTAGGGGTGCATGGGTCGACTTCACCGTCTGTGATAGAAAATAGGAATTTGAATTGGTAACGGTTATTGGAAAATGTTTAAATTTTAATTGGTAACGGTCATTGGAAGATATTTTAATTTTAATTGGTAACGGTTATTGGAAGATGATAAGATTAGAATTGTTAACGGTCATTGGAAGATTTTTTAAATTTTAATTGTTAACGGTTATTGGAAGATATTTGGATTTGAAAAGGTAACGGTTATTAGAAGATTTTTTTTAAATTGAATTTGAATTAGTAACGGTAATGGAGACTTTGGATTTGAATTTGTACCTGTAATGGAGAATTTGAATTAGTAACGGTTATGACGATTTTGATTTTGAATATAGATTAGTAGCGTTAAATATTTTGAATCCGAATTTGGGTTAATAACAGTAACGATTTTGAATTCAAATTTATATTAGCAATGGTAACAAAAAATCAATTTGAATTAGTAACGTTAACGAAGATTTTCTATCCCTCATTTCCTCCCTCCCTCCCTTCTTCTCCCCTCTCTTCTCTCTCTCCCTCCCTCCCGTCTTCCCTTCATCCCTCCCTTCCTCTCCCTGCCTCTCGCAAAACCAGACATCCTCACCTAACCCACCGAGACCTACCTGACGAAGGAATGGACTTGGCTGACGCAGAGAAGGTCGTCCATCCTATACTGCAGAAGGCGATGCAGAGAACTCGCAGGGCCCTTTGATGTCTCGATGTCATTTTTTTTATGATGTCACGTTAAATGAGAGGAAATGCCTTTTTTTCTCTTGTTCTTGGGATCACACGTGGTAGGAATGCACTCGTGGGGTCTTCTATGTTGTTCTATGGGTGATATGTGGTTGGAAAGTCACCCTTTTATGTTGCTCTGTGGGTGATATGTGGTTGGAAAGTCACCCCTGTCTATGTTGTTCTGTGGGTGATATGTGGTTGGAATTTAACTCTTTTCTATGTTGTTCTGTGAGTGATATGAGGTTGGGAATTCGCTTCTTTCAATGTTGTTCTTTTATGATTATATGTTAATGAAAATTATAATTTCTTTTAAAATTCGGACTTCACAAAATGAATTTCATTTATCACAAAGCAAAATAATAAATCCTTTAGGTTTACAATAAACGAAAAAATGCACCATTAATGATAATAATAATAATAATAATAAAAATCATCATCATAATAATGATAATGATAACAATCATCATCATAGTAATAGCATTAATAACATTCTGTATAATAATAGTAATGAGAACAATCACAATTGTACTATTTATCAAAAAAAATATAATAATAACTACCATTATTCCCATTATCATCCTCGTATCTATGACATCATGCAATCCAATCCAAAATTCAATCCAAAAACTTTTCCTTTCAATTCACCAGGGACTCATAATCCAATTCAATATGGCGAGGAGAAATCGGCTCAACTCGTTAAAGGTCGCTCGAAAACTGAGCTAACACGCCACACAACAGCACACGCCACCACTATATAATGGACGTGACTGAACACTCGAAAATGAAAACTATTTGAGTCTTCACTTTCTGGCAACGCTGTTTGGTTGTTTGTGATTGTTTTTCCGAGAATTTTCGTGACGTCATAAGGAAAATTATTCGTATACGCAATAAATAGCTAAAGGATTAGTAAGTAAAGTTAAAAACTTCTTTGTTGTTTGTTTGTTTGCCATTTGGAATGTATCTATCTTTATCACTCTATCGCATGTGGAATGGTTTTCTTTTATTTCGGAAACGTTTTTCTATAACATAACAGAATTGGATTCCATTGTGCGGCATAAAAGGCCTCTCAAAAATATTACAATTGCATGTTATTGTTGTTTCTGTGGCATAATTCAGCATAGGCCTACATATCATATTTAATCAAGGTCTATTAGATATCCCCTTCTCTCTAAATTAGTTGTCAATCTTAAACAAAAGAAAAACAAAACACACATCTAAAATACCTAATACACTTATATCAAACTAATCTTTAAAGTCTACATGTTTAAAATCTCCAACATTTTTTTTTTTAATATGGTTTCCAAACAGATCGAGGAATTGTTATATACTTGACAATGTTTACTTTTTTCCGTTTATATTTTGTTGTACCATGTGTCCACTAGTTTTAACAGTCTCTTTACTCTCTCTCTCCTCTCTCTCTCTCTCTCTTTCTTTCTCTCTTTCTCCTCTCTTTTCTTTCTTTCTCTTCTTTCTTTCTTTCTTTCTTTCTCTTTCTTCTTTCTCTCTTTCTTTCTTTCTTCTCTTCTCTCTCTCTCTCTCTCTCTTCCCTCCTCCTTCCATTTGACTCTTGTCTATTTTTCACCATTCCCTCCCTAAAGGCCTCTGTGTCTAGTAATGTTGATCTTAACCTTTGGCGAATTTCTTCCCAGTGTAATTCTCACCACAATATGTATAACACGTCTGTCCTTCCTTGAAAGTGCATGTAGACTGGGACCATGGTATCGGTATGTTGCCACTGATACCGCTATCCGTTTAATTAGCGGTTACATTAGGCGTATGTGTGTAT